ATGGTCTCATCATTTTATCATTCATTTTCTACAAATAATAAATACTTCAATCAATGTTATAGTAAGGTCATTAATTTTCATGTTTTTCCTGTTGCAATGGATTAAGAATATATACATATGTTTGTATAAAATGTTGCCCATCACATGTTAGTAAAGATAGTGGACCACAGTCATATACGCCTACCACAGCATGCGGATGGTAAATTTTCAAGATTTTGGGACAAGGGCAATAACTCTGCTTCTAACGTACGAAAATAGCTCAAATTCGAACTTGATCTTCGTTTTATGAATATGTATACATACCCCGAATTTCATTTGATGCCATCAAAAAATCTAGTTTTTACAGCGTTTACAAGCAAATGTTGACGGACGGACAGATCGACCACATAGAGAGATGTGGGCGTATAAAAAGTGATAAGGCGTCAATATATCCAGTGTTCCAGTCTGTGCACATCAGAGGAACAAACTCACAGCAGTTACTACCCTAGTTTCAGGGATTTTGTACAAAACCCATTCACAATATTTTAAAATATATATTTATTTTCCTAAATGATACACTAAGGACAGGACATTTTCTTGCATTTCAAACATCTTATATCACTATGTGGAGATTCCACAAAGCTGGTTATATTGGCATCTAAATGTTCAGTAAATAAACAGAAGAGGATGTAATATTTACCTGTAGTATTGTCATTAATATTGGTAAACAATCAGCACTATATAGTTCTATTAGAGCATATTTATACTTTAACTCTTTTGGATTTTCTACAATAACAAAATAGGTATAAAATGTTTTACAGCTACCTTCAGCAGAAAATAAAGGAACATTTTTTATCAGGGTAACAGCCAATTTTCAACAGTATTCCAACCTTAAAATGATAAATCAAAACCACACACACCGATTTTGACCCTTGAACTACTGTGGGAAGAAATTTTACAAAATTCCACTCTAAATTTGCATGACAAAAGTTGCTGAATGTCCCTACTACCTTCAGTAGCCAATAAGGGAAAATTTTATCAGGGCAGATACATTAGCCAAATTTCAAGAGTATTCCAACCTTAAAATGATTAATGCCCATGCTACCTCTATGCCAGACACAGGAATTCTTTATGGAAACTCAAAGAGTAACAGTAAAAAAATCTTACCATCAGGGAATCTAGTATCAGATGGTATAGCTAGATTGTGTAGCAGACGTAAAACTGTCACTAAAGGCATGGGTTGTTTCTGGATCTCTTCTGATGTATGTTTTAATAAATTGATCATACTAGACAGACCCTCGTAACCATAAGACTGTTTCTGACACGGTGCCAACCAATCCTGGATTTCTGTTAATTTGGTATTTATTTCTAAATAGAGAAAGAGTGAATGGAATTACCATTCTCATTATTGCAACGAAATTAAGACCATCTGATATCTTAGTTACAATTCATGCAACATAAGGATCATCTTCACAATGTTAAGCTATAACCAACTTTGTCTTATACCTTGACCGCAATAGCCACCTTTCTTTAATTACAGAAATTCATAAATGCTGCTATTTGATTGGATTGTACATTAGCTAACACAGTCAATCAGAGTCCTTGATGGAAAGTCTGTAAACAATAAGCCTTAATGTTTTCAGTCTGTCTTTCAATGGCTATAGTAGACTGTATTCACTGGAATACAATCCAATCAAATCGCTGCATTCTTTGAAACATGTCTCTTGCAGTCAA